GGATTAGATACACATTGTGCCCTTGCAAAACAAAATCATATAGATTATCTACAATAAATTATTATACTTTTAAATGATCTGAAACAAATTAAATTAATCCTGTGGAAATCACTAAGATGTACAACATCTTTTTGCTTAAAAGATTGTTGAAAACGCATTAGATTTGAAAAGATTTTAAAGGACTTCTTTAGGGTTGCCATTCCACACCTATAACACCTCGCACAGATCCAGTGGCATAACTTGGGGGTAGCAGCAAGGTTGTGGGTGCTCTAGGACTATAGCCCCCACCTGCCCTGCAAATTACTATGCAGGGGTTCATTCAACGCCTTAGACAGTGTAGAAATAAAGAAAAAAAATCAAAGCACCCCATCCCACCGTGCTCACAAGCAAAGGTGAACACACGTCTTAGTCCCGCGGCTGTATGTAAATGGTGATTGCACACATGAGGTATTGAGGTGAACATCAGAGCAGAGCAATAATTCTAGCACCAGATGAACTAGAACTCATGTTTAACTCTAAACTGATAACCTGTAAAGGCTTTTAAAGCATCACCCATGGAGATGTTTAAATACCATAGTTTGGCACCATTCCATGAGCGTGAGTAATTTTAAAGTGTGACAAGTTAGGAATCTATTTAGTCAATGTAACACTATCCTTTATATTTTACCAAAAATTGGGTATTCTATTGTGTGTGTGCATTAAAATTCATTAACATGTGTTTTTGCCAAAAATATTGATTTAGAAAAACTGTTGCTCTGTGTGACAGATAACATTGCTAAACCCACCATTTTATTCTCTATGGCCTCTGCAAAAAAAAAAAGAAATAAAAAAAATACAGATTTTTACATTATGTAAACAAAATGTGTCAGAAAAGGCCTGGTCTTATATAGGAGGTTTTATTTTGACATTGGTCTGGTAACCACTGTTTTAAAACACAGGGAAGCAGTTTTTTAAGGGTTTACAAAACTGTTAAAAATAAATAAAACTTAAGTAAATAATAATCCTTTTCTTTTTCACATGCTCCTGTCTTCTTTTTTCCAGTCATGTACAAACTATTCTATACTATACATCTTCAGTTGCCTTCGGTTTGCTAACTTAGCAACAGTTGACAAATTCTTATAAACTCATTTGATGACATAATGGCCTCAGAAATTACAGCCATTGATTTCCCTAAAAATTGAGTCAACTCTTCATAAAGGGTTCTTATTTGTCTTGTTGATATTTAATTGCAGCAGTCTCCAACATCAGTTGACCTGGGCACCACTACATTTCTTTCTTTGTGTGGCAGGTCCTAGGTTGCAGTTACTGTTGTGCTTGTACTTTTACTTTATTTCCTTTATTTCCCCTTCTCCTCCCTATCCCTGGTACATTAGGGGCATTTTGCATCAATAGAGGGGAAGGAGAGTAGTCAAACTGCTTTAGTTACATCATGCCATAGTTCCCCGTGCCTCTAGTAAACTCTGGAAAGTCAACTGCCTCTAACTGATGTCTACTATCCTTGCAATGATAATTACTAAAATTTCTGTTTGTCTTTATTTTTGGGCATTGTTCTTTGATAGCAGCCTTCAGTAATGTCACTCCTGCATAAGAGGCCAAAGTAATAGCCGAGAGATACTGTGTAGCAGCACATTAAATGTCTTTCTTTTTTGCTTTGAGCAGCAAACACTTTTAATGACACTGCTTGCTTGAATTTTGATTATCCTTTTGTTTTAATTTTTAAGAAAGCCTTTGGTGTGTGATAAATCACTATTTTAAGTTAAAACCTCAAGACAAATTTAGCAATGTGAGTTGTATATGGATATTACTTGTTCCATGAAATAGCAGGTGATGTTGTTTGAAAGTGATATAAAGTTTCAGCCATTGAGAAGTTAAGTAATTTACCGACTTGCATGTTACCATGAACCAACAGAAATCAACTGTATATTACATTTGCATAAACACACTTTAGACCACCCCCCTTTTAATCTAAGGTACATTACATAATCCAAACTAATGCAATCTCTAAACAAGTGTACATTATATTTACCATATATGCACTGTGCTGTATATGATGTACGCCAAGCTTCTAATAAAAACAGTATTGTGTTAGTTGTATCACTAGGATGCTTTTAGGAATTAAAGTATTACTAAACCCAGGAGCCTGCAATCACTATATCTGGTCTCCCACAGTACACAGAACATGGAAATAAAATTATTTTAGTAAATATAAACTGCTAAATACCTTTTCTCTTCAGCAGTTAGAGCAGTCTTGTGACTTCAGCTCAGCACTGGTTAAAGCTTGCAGGAGGAGTTTTCTTTCTGCCCTAGGAGGATGTAAAACCCTTGACCTCTGTCTTGATTGGCCCTGTGCTGATCACATGCACTGTCCCAGGAAAAAAATCACTTATCAGAGAGAACATTTGAACAAGAGGAGGGGTAGAGAAGTCAGGTTCATATAGCCTCCTTTTTGCACAATGCAGAGGATTAACCCCTTAGGTTCCACAGTCAGTATAACAAGCATGCTTTACTGCATATACAGACTGATTTTACTGTTGTGGGTTTAGTAACACTTTAAGCATTATGTCCTGTTCAATGAATGAGTACACTTTTGCAAGTGAACAGGCGAAATGTGCTTTGGATCTTTTAACTTTGAGCTTCAATAACAAAACTCTGCATGGGCAGAGTCTATTTATGTTATCTCTTTGGCTTACACTCTGGAACTTTCCTATTACCCTTCCAACCTCTGTTATCCATTGAAGGATTGTCAAATAAAAGGTAGTACAGCACTAAGAACAATCTAAAAAGAAAAAATCCAAAACGTGCAATATGTAAACGAATAGTATAAATGCACATCAATAAGGGGGGCGTTATCATTTTAAAAAACTCGCACACCAGTTATAGGTGTGTCTTGGACTTACTAATGCATAAATAATGTATAGAGTCAAGTAGTAATATACATAATAAACGGTTAGGTATAAATGCATAATAATCTTGAAATGTCCTTAAAAAAAGTAAATTCAGATCTCCAGATAACTCAGTTAAGTCCCAGTGTGCATATAATCCTCAGGTGCATGTGCCAATAAATGTATAAAATGCGCACTCACCAGATGCGCTAATAAAAAGCGCGTTGTATCAAGTATTGTTGATCAGCCATGGGTCCCTTCTAAGGGTAGTCCGGGATGTAGCCTGGGGGTTGATGGCCTTCCTCTAGAGCAGTGTTTCTCAACTCCAGTCCTCATGGACCCCCAACAGGTCATGTTTTCAGGATTTCCCTCAGATGATACAGCTGTGGTAATTACTAAGGCAGTGAAACTGATCAAATCACCTGTGCAAAATAATGGAAATCCTGAAAACATGACCTGTTGGGGGTCCATGAGGACTGGAGTTGAGAAACACTGCTCTAGAGACAGGATTGGAGTAGCCAGTAAAGGTAGTTCGGCCTCTTCCAGGCGCTGGGACATTCGCTGGGGATCGCTAGGGGATTAAGGTGCTCAGTGCAGAGCAAAAGAATAGGGATAATTCCATAGTGTAGTATTTTTCAATGGTACTTTAATGGTAATAAGGAATAATGTTAGTTGTTCTCCTCCTCGAATATCTTCACTCTTCTATCAGTTCTCACTCAGTCTTGCTTGCACATCACTTTAACTGAGCTTCTTCACTAAGGTGTCCTTTTATGAAACTGAGATCAGTGGCGATCCTAAGGATCATTGCTGATCTCAGATCATTAGTGGTTTAGGAAACAGAGATAATCAGCAGAGAACATGTTCTCTGCTGATCATCTCAGCACACAGAGAATCTGTCAGAAACGGCTAGTGTATTAACTACATGCCGCCCAGCCACTGTACATATACGGCGGCAGGGCGCCACTCGCAAGCAAAACCGCATTTTAAAACGTGTGTTTTGTAAACAAATAGGGGGCGTGCGCGAGGCGCACCGCCGCCCTATCTGTCTCGCGGATCACCGCCGCAGATGTCAGTCGCCGGGTCACAGCCACTCCTTAGCGGCTGTTTCCCGGCGATCGGCGGCAAACAGTGACAGACAGCACAGCTGCAGTAGCTGTGCTGTCTGTCACTTCCCTGTCAGCTCGAGGGTGAGCTGATCAAGAAAGAACAGTTTCTCTTTCTCGATCAGCCTTGTCCCACCCAGTACACACCCCCGCCCCCTAGTAAAACACTCCCGTCACTCCTATAACTCTTCCCTGCAAAATAAAGTTAACCCCTTCCTTCCCATTGCCATTAGTACAGTGTCAGTGTTTTATTTTTTGCACTGATCACTGTATTAGTGTTTTTGGGGATGTCAGTGACCCCAAGTCAATACCCCCCAATGTCAGAATGTCCGCCGCAGTCCCGCCATAAGTCGCTGGTCGCTGCCATAAGTCCCTGATCGTCGCCATAATTCGCTGATCGCCGCCATTATTAGTATAAAAAAAAACCTAAAAATCCCAGTATCTTTCCCGCCATTTGTAAATGCTATAACTTTCACGTAAACCAATTAATTTACACGTATTGGGTTTTTTATTTAGCAAAGACATGTCACAGAATGCATTTTGGCAGAAATTTATGACTAAATTTGATTTTTGCATTTTTTCTTTTACTGGACATGTTTTATAGCGAAAAGTCCAAAATATAGTTTTTTTTTCCTCAAAATTGTCAGCCTTTTTTTTTTTATAGCACAAAAAATAAAAACCGCACAGGCGATCAAATACCACCGAAAGAAAGCTCAATTTGTGGGGGAAAAAAAAGATGTAAATTTCATTTATGTACCATATTGCATGACCGCGCAATTGTCCATTAAACTAGCACAGCGCTGTATAGCAGAAAAATGGCGTAAATTGCAGTATTTATACCATAGTTTGTAGACGCTATAACTTCCACACAAAGCAATCAATATACACTTATTGGGATTTTTTTTACCAAAAACATGTAGCAGAATACATTTTGGCCTAAATTTATAACTAACTTTGAGTTTACTATATATTTTTTATAGCTGAAAGTAAAAAATATTGTTTTTCTTCAAAATTTTTGGCCTTTTTTTGTTTATAGAGTGAAAAATAAAAAGTGCACAGGTGATCAAATACCACCAAAAGAAAGCTCTATTTGTGTGAAAAAAAGGACGTCAATTTTGTTTGGGTGCAGCATTGCATGACCGCGCAATTATCAGTTGAATTAGTGCAGCGCCGAGTAGCAAAAAGAGGCCTGGTCATTAAGGGGGGTAAATCCTCTGGAGCTCAAGTGGTTAAGGAGCGATGTCAGCCCTTCACTAGTTATCTGTGTGAAAATTCTCCCTCCAGATTCTCCAGCCCAGAGGTGGAGAATCGGGGAGCCGCAAATGAAGCAGCAGTAATTTACTTCTACTTAGTAAACTGTGTTTGACTGATATCTTAATGCAATCTCAAGAGACTACAGTAACAGCAGCAGTTTTCTAGAGTCCAAATCGTTTGTAGATCACTTCTCTCCTTGTTAGGAGAAGCAATCTACACGGCTTCATGAACAGGCATTCAGAGGAGAACTGTCTCCTCTGAGAATGCCAGAGAACTGAACAGTGGTCTTTACTGCTGCATGATAAAAAGACACCTATATCCTCAAGCTTACTTATCACTTGTCTTTCCTATTCATCTCTTTAACTCTTATACAATTGCTGACTCACAGGTGCAATCTTTGCCACCCCGGAAGTATGTTTCAGCAATCTGATGCAGAACAACACAAATTCCACTCCTAAGATAAGTAGTAATGTTGTCAATTGCTTATGAGGTGTGTGTGGCTGTGGTCATTGCTGGTGGCTTAAAAAGCCAGTCAGAGGGGTGGAAAATTATCAGCAATGTTGACTCTACACATTGTGTGGATGTGCTGTCTGTTCCATGGAAAGGTGCAAGCTCTTTGGCAATGTCCATGCAAGGTTTATTGATGTTTATGGCTATAAAGAGAGGTCTTAGTTACTTTGTACCTGTACTTTTTAAGTTACAGTGTACAACCTACAGAGTATGGGAGTAGGCTATTTGTGACTGGTGTGGCTGGTTGGTATCTTCTTGTAGAAATTACCACACCTATTGTACATAGTGACCACACACAAACTTGCAGGATGACTTCCAGTGGACCACTTAGCTGCTCTTTGGTATCCTGCTTAACCTGAAACCCTTGACAGTTTAATCAAAATCCCTGACAAGAGACAATTCTTTCCAGGAAACAAACTTTGAACACTTAGAGCACCTAAAACAAATATAATACTGGGCATACAGTAAATATAGTTCTAAATATAAAATTAATGATAGATTCTGTCTCAAGTTTTGATCAGCCCGCTCTAAAGAGGTAACTTATTGGACAGGATTATTCTGTTAGTATCAGTAAGTGGTGCAATTTCCCTTTCCACTTGAATATTATATCATCTACAGTTCAGTGCAGTTCTACAATAGGTGATTTGTGCAAATTAAATTTGAATGATTGCCTAGTTTCATTTAGTTATCGATTGAGGACATCATGTATTATAAAACAGAGTAATTCATAACCAACTATTTTAAAGACTAAAGATTTTAGACCAGCCCATAGATAAAATCTTCAAACTTAGTTTGTTCACTGCTGACAGAAGTAGTATAGTATAGCTTAATTTATAATTATTACCATTACAACAGCTTTATATTTTTTATCGGTAATGCTATATTTACCTTTCAGCCCTAATGCTGATTATCTAGGCTGGTATATTTATATATATCACTGAAAGTCATTAACATTACATGAGCTGCTGCAGTTTCCATTCTCTGGGTGCTATTTCATACACTATTTTCTACATGCAGCATACATATTTTTAATCACACTGGGGTCAGAGATGACTTTTTTACAACATTAAACATTAATATGAAAATGAATAAACCAGAACAGTAGGCATGGCACTCTTCCAGTCAGATGCTCTTGTAAACTGTTCCTGTGCTGACATCCCCTGCAAACATACCCAAAGGGGTCATAAATCAATGTTTTCTGCTTAATAATTGATTATCTCTGAGGGGAAAGACAGACGCACCTGCAGAATTCACAACCAACTAAAAAAGCCTTATCAAGGAAGTTATGGAGTTTTATGTAGAGCTCGGAATGTTCACACAAGCAGAAAAGATAGCATTTGGAATGCAATTTTTTTTCCCTATTCAATTCAGTTGAATTATAATGTTATCAATTCAACTATGCACAGAGGGAATACAAAAATAACATATTACTCTGATTGAAGAATAATGGAATCATTAAAAATTGGCAAAACTGAGGGAACATGAGAATCACTGTGCATTATCTCCTATAGATTCTTTGTTTTTAATAAACAATGGCATGTTAGGACACAAATAAGAATATATCTAACAGATACTGCCTTTTGTTTCAGGGTTTTGTTGCATTGCTCTACTTTTGAGCTCTCAAGGCAAAAAGACAATGAAGATTGAAGGAAAAATGTGTAAAAAAACGTTTTGCGCTGCTACTAGAAATGATGGGACTATTGGGACAGCAGCACACACCTGGCTATACCACTAGCAAAAAACAACAAACAGAAAATTGATGTTGCGCTAATCACAATAATACCACAGACATTCCAAAACAAATAATGAGATGAGAAGACAATAGATAATACACCATAACATAATCAGAAAATGGAAGGAATATGGGAGTGAAGGGAAAGGTGAAATAATAAAGGTCCAAAATGAGAACCAAAAGGTGTAACAGACAATAAACCGTGATCGTTAGCAAAATGCACAGAAATGATCAGGGAAAAATAAAATATTAACTAAACCATAGTAATAGTGGGACATATGAGTCCAACATAACATAAATGAAATAACATGAATACAACTGATGAGAAAGTGGAGCAAAATGTGAAAAATACAAAGTGCTTAATATTAAAAGTGGATAAACCACTTATCACAGAAGAATGACAATAACAGCGCACAGTGAGGCCAAAAAATGTAACCATGTGACTAAAGGATCATAACATGCCCAAAACTGAACTTCATATTCCAGGTGAGGTCTTAATAATGATTTGTACAGGGGTAATATAATATCTCTCTCTCTGGAGTCTATACCTCTTTTAATACAAGAGAGGATTTTGCTCGCTTTAGAAACTGCAGCTTGGCATTGCATGCCATTATTACGCTTATGATCTACCAGAACTCCCAGATCCTTCTCCACCATTGATTCCCCCAATTGTACCCCCCCTAGTATGTATGATGCATGCATATTCTTAGCCCCCAAGTGCATAACCTTACATTTATCAACATTAAACCTCATTTGCCACATAGTTGCCCAATTAAACAGAGCATTGAGGTCGGCTTGTAAGTTGGAGACATCCTGTAAGGACGTTATTCCACTGCACAGCTTGGTGTCATCTGCAAAGACTGAAACTGGATTTTTAATGCAAGACCCTATATTGTTTATAAATATATTAAAAAGTAAAGATCCAAACACTGAACCTTGGGGTACACCACTGACAACCCTAGACCATTCAGAGTATGAATCATTAACCACTACTCTCTCAATACGATTTTTTTTAGCCAGTTTTCTATCCATTTACATACAGATTTTTCCAAGCCTGTAGACTTTACCTTACAAATTAGCCATTTGTGGGGAACTGTGTCAAACGCTTTTGCAAATACCAAGTATAAAATGTCCACCGCCAGCCCTCTGTCTAAGGTTTTGCTCACCTCCTCATAAAAAGAAATTAGATTTGTTTGACAACTTCTGTCTTTCATGAATTTTTGCTGTCTGTTGCTTAAAATATTTTTTTCCAGCAAGAACTCATCTATGTGGTCTTTTATTAAACTCTCCAGAATCTTCCTGTCAGGGCTGGAGTGGTGGAATGGTCAGGCAGGCCTTATGGTTAAGGTCACGCACCGACTGGCGACAGCCTCTGGTGACTCACAGACCGGAGTCCCTCAGGGCGCGGAGTCTAAGCCCCAGGCTGCCTTTCACCAGGGCCCCTGATGGTGGGGATGGACTTGACGCAGCCTGAGACCAGGTCGCGACCCCTGAGTAACCCCAGCTGCAGTAACGGCTGCCGCCAATGGCGTATAGCGAGTAGGGGCCAGATGGGAAGACATATAGCGTGGTCAGACAGGCGGGGTCGATAACAGCGGAACAGACAGTACAAGACGGTAGGCAAGAATACTCAGGTCACGAGCCGGATTCAGCAACGGGAGGTCAAGTAATGGAATAAAGCAGAGAATGGTCAGAACGGGCCAAGGGTCAGAGCAAGAGGAGTCTTTGTCAAAGCCGAGTCGGTTTCCAGGAGAGCAACAAGAGCTGAACAAGAGCTTGCTGCAATGCAACATACAGGACACGAATGCAAAGAACGGCTGCAACCGACAGACTTAAATGTGATAAGCCGCACCCTCCTGGGAGGAGCTGCAGAGGACTGAGAGCATAAAGGATCCCACAATGCTTAGCAGACACCCAAGATGGATGCCAGCACATGGAGCAGCACAAACCCTGAGGAAAGGTAGGACCTTGACACTTCCCAACTATAGACGTTAAACTAACAGGTCTATAATTACTTGGTAAAGATTTTGATCTCTTTTTAAATATAGGCATCACATTGGCCTTACGCCAATTCAGTGATTAATATATTTGAATAATTGTTTGAGGATTGTCCTGCTATCTTTTGCAATCTGTCGTTCGTTTTCAATTTTTGCAGCCTTGATTTCCTTTTTACATATTCTGTTATATTCTTCGTAATGTTTAAACGATGATAGAGTTCCTTAATTTTTATATTTAATAAAAGCTCTTTTCTTATTATTTATAGATTTTGTAACTTTGGCCATAACCCCAGGTTTCATTTTTAGCCTTTTTAAATTTGTTGCCCATGGGAATATATTTTGCAGTGTGTTCACTTACAGTCTTTTTGGAGAACTCCCATTTCTGTGTTGTGTACATTGATGCCACTATTCCCTCCCAGTCAAAGTTTTGAAGAGAAGCTCTCAGCAAAATTAACTCTCTTAAAGTTGAGCATTTTTATTTTTCCCATATGTGCTTTTTGTTTACAGCTAACAATAAATGAAATCATGTTATGGTCACTGCTTCCCAGATGTTCTTTATGGACATTAGTAATAAGCACTGCATGGTTTAACCACTTGCCCTCCTGAGGATTTACCCCCCTTAATGACCAGGCCTCTTTTTGCTACTCGCCGCTGCACTAATTCAACTGATAATTGTGCGGTCATGCAATGCTGCACCCAAATGAAATTTACGTCCTTTTTTCACACAAATAGAGCTTTCTTTTGGTGGTATTTGATTACTTGTGCACTTTTTATTTTTTATGCTATATACAAAAAAAGACCAACAATTTTGAAGAAGAAAAATTATATTTTTTACTTTCAGCTATAAAAAATATATAGTAAACTCAAAGTTGGTTATAAATTTAAGCCAAAATGTATTCTGCTACATGTTTTCGGTAAAAAAATTCCAATAAGTGTATATTGATTGCTTTGTGTGAAAGTTATAGTGTCTACAAACTATGGTATAGATACTGCAATTTACGCCATTTTTTTGCTATACAGCGCTGCGCTAGTTTAACGGACAATTGCGTGGTCATGCAATACGGTACATAAATGAAATTTACATCCTTTTTTTCCCACAAATTGAGCTTTCTTTCGGTGGTATTTGATCACCTGTGTGTTTTTTAGTTTTTGCGCTATAAAAAAAAGTCTGACAATTTTGAGGAAAAAAAAAACAATATTTTGGACTTTTTGCTATAAAACATGTCCAGTAAAAAAAAAATTTAAAAATCAAAAATTTAGTCATAAATTTCTGCCAAAATGCATTCTGCGACATGTCTTTGCTAAAAAAAAAACCAATACGTGTAAATTAATTGGTTTACGTGAAAGTTATAGCATTTACAAATGGCGGGAAATATACTGGGATTTTTAATTTTTTTTTATACTAATAATGGCTGCGATCAGCGACTTATGGCGGCGATC